TGTAATTTGCGGTAATGGGAGCCGGTAACCGGACCGGTAAAACCGCGGTAAACCGACGGTTTTTTTGCTCATTTTTATCATATAGGAAGATGTGCGAAAAAGACGTTTAAAATTGCGAAATCGATGGTTTAAAGCAATTTTTCCTTAAATATTTAGGACTATTCGGTTAACCGGATATTTTACCGGTTAACCGCGGTAAACCGGATAATTTTTACCGGTAAACCGCGGTAAACCAGATCATTTTCAGCGGTAAACCGCGGTATACCATGTAAATTGCGGTAATGGGAGCCGGTAACCGGACCGGTAAAACCGCGGTAAACCGCCGATTTTCTTCCGGTTTTCATCACATGGGTAAATATTCACCATCAAGTAAACCAATTGATTCAACTTTATGTCCAGAAAGTAATGTTTCCAAACAAAATCCAGCTTCACGTTGACTATCAACAATACTTTTTGGTAGTGTTTGAGCTAAAATCAAGTTGCGTGCTTTTGGAATGATTGTTCTTCGAAGACCTAAAATCAAGGGGGAAAAAGCAGATTTTGGCGTCCAAAATCTTTCAGAATCTTTGAAATCTTTCAAAATCTTTTAAAATCTTTTAAAATCTTTCAAAATCTTTCAAAATCTTTTAAATCTCTTAAAATCTCTCAAAATCTTTTAAAATCTTAAAATCTTAAAATCTGCTTTTTCCCCCTTGTGAAAACTGCAATGGAGGTGAGTGAGAAGTATTTTTCTGATGTGTTATAAAAAGTATCATTCGTTTGTTTGTTTTATTTCAGATGATGTTGTTATATCATATGTCATTACAGGTGTTGCATATCGCATTGTTGCAAGTGATCCATGTTGTTCTTGTCAAAGTGTCCAAGACTTTGTTGTAGGTTTTTCACATGGATTTACACCTGTTGACACATCTCGTGAAGCATTTATTAATTTTTTTAAATTGTTACAATCAATTTTATCAACTCCGTTTGTGATTCAGTTGTATTGTGAGTTAGTTAATTATGAAGAAAATGTTTCACAAGAAACAATTGAACGATCATTAAAAGACAATGTTTCAAAATTGCAAATGCATATGTATCTTGCGAATCTTCCCGATTATTATTGTGCATTAACTCTATATGATGGAAAATTACTTTTAAATAGTTCTGAACGTGGTTTATTGAAAAGGATTGGCAAGATGATTAGGTAAAACTTCCGCTTTCGTTCAAAAATAAGATAGAAAAATTGTTTGTTTCAGATGGGATTGGAAATTGGATTCACCTGATGGCATTATGATTGAAGACTGGGCAGCACTTTTGATTGTTATCATTCATGAAATTGCACATGGTAAGTAGAACTTAAGATTTGTCTAATACCAATATCCTCAACGTATCCTTTAAAACGCTATATGTATTTTAGGTCTTCGAAGAACAATCATTCAAAAAGCACGCAACTTGATTTTAGCTCAAACACTACCAAAAAGTATTGTTGATAGTCAACGTGAAGCTGGATTTTGTTTGGAAACATTACTTTTTGGACATAAAGTTGAATCAATTGGTTTACTTGATGGTGAATATTTATTGAATGCGGCCAATTGGGCAGTGGCTAATGTTGAAAATTTTCAAAAGAAATTGAAAGAAGTAACAACAAAAGATGAAGAACAAAGCAAAAAAAGCCAACTCAAGTTACCATGTCGATGTGTTCAAGAACCCACTCTTGGTGCTCGTATTCGAATTGGTGGTTGTGCAACATCACAGTACGCCGTTCATCTCAATAACTGAAACTAATATAACTAGTCGTCATTAATTTGTATATATTGTAATATGATTTTTTTGTCGTAAATTTCAACGTTTATTCATTCATATATGCACATATTTGGCTTATTGTTATTTCAGATTCGAAATTAAAAAAAAAAGCTTTTCAAAATTATATACAACATGAAATAAAACCACGAGAGGTATGTATTTATCAGATTAACTTTTTTTTAAAATGAACAGTGTTTTGTTTAGTTTAGTGGTATATGATAACATTTGCACATCAATATCTTGGATGAGGTAAAAGTAGTATACATTGTTATATAAATGATCAACTTGTGTCAAATCCATATTTTTCATGTAGTACTGAAAGTGGTGATTTATTCCCTCTACTGAAAGGAGGGTCATACGCTGAGTGAGCCATCTTTGTTTGTTCCTATGTATGGTCGTTCGTTCAATGGAGGATCTCAGAAGACCTGAGATGATTCATTGTAATATCTAAGATAAAGGACAGGGGCGCATAAGAAGCCGATTTGGCCCATAGGATATTTTCAGTCACTTTATCGCCTATCCTATTCAGAAAAATGTGGTGATTCTTTCGGTAATAATTTCAAGTCAAGCTGTGAGGATTATAAGCTATTTTGAGGGAGAATACGTGCAAAAAAGTATTGAAGTTTCATTGGGCTCATAGTTGTCTAGTATTAGCTCAAAATATGCGACTCTTAGGCAATGTTTCAAGCTCAATCTATATTGGTTAGAAAGAGCGTTTAATACTGCATCGTTTCATATAAAAACTAATAT